ACCCGCGAGCGGTGCCGAGCGACGACGGAACGCCACCCGCGTACGCGGTGCACCTGACCGTTCGGAGCCGTCGCCGTACGATCCGCACGTAACGAACGTAACGCGTACGGACGATAGCACGCCGACGGGCCTTCCGAGAGCGCGCGGGGTCAAAGGTCGCGCGTATCCCCCCGAGATACGGTCGTCGCACGGAGGTGCCGCGTAAACGGACGAGCGTACGGTAATTGTTGTGTTATGCGCGCGCGTGTACGCATAACAACGTGGCCGCGCACACGATACGGTTGCGATTCGCGGCGCGGGGTCATCGCGGACGGGCGCGAGTCGCTCGCGCCCGGGGCCGTCCGCGTGCTGCGTAACGTGTCCGTCCGTTCGCCGCCGCGCGCGTGTGGGAGAGAAAGTGGCCGGGCGAACGTCGTGACCGTACACGCCGCGGCGTCTCCGCTTCGCCGTCCGTCCGTCCGTCCATCTACCCGAAGCCGAACCCGACGCGCCGGGGCACAAGCGGTCGGTCAAAGCTGCCGGTCGCGTACGGTCCGGGACGGGGACGCGCGCAGCCACCCGTGCACGATGCGTAGCCGTTACGTTGGTATTATTTACGCGCCGAGAAAAATTATAATATTTTTACGGTCGCCGGGTATCGCCCGAAAACCGTTCGTTCGTCGCGTAACGTAAACGTAATGTTACTACGCAGCGCAAGTCCTGTGCACAATGCATAATATCCATAATATCCGATACACGCGAAACAGGAGCGATCGTTATTATCATTATTATTATTATTATTATTATAATTATTACTTTTAAACGTGTACCGTCGCCGACACGTAACAACGCAGAAAACATCGGTGGTTTAGGTTTCGGTTGTGAACCATTGACCACCGCATGTTCCGTACATCTTATGCATCTCGATCGTAATAAAGTAATTATGCTCTCGTGTTATTTAAACTTAACACGCAGCCGAGTAGGCACTCGAAAACAGCCAAATGAATACTTTTGATTTCGAACGCGACCCGTACATTTCGTTTTTAAGAACAACTCATTTCGATGTGGAACAATAATGACGGTAATATTGAAAAATTACCATTATATTATCCACTCGAATGTCGATCATGTTTCACTGCTAGGGGTTAGTGATGATTGAAATATTTTACAACTTTAAAATCTTTAATTCGACGCATATTTCACATGTTGACCAAACTACAAGGTAATATATATTTCCTAAGATATAGTAAAACAAAATCACTCCTTAGATTATAAAACTCTGATTTTAGACTCTTTTAAAACCGTACAAAACAAATTCCAGCTCGTCCCGTGTATAATAATATGCCACAATCGTTTCAAACCGCCTACAGCTGATGTACGAGTATCGTTGATTATAAATCATACTGAACATACATTTCACGTTAAAGAATATAGAAACCTTTTCCCTAGAGACATAGTATTAGATAAGTTCCAGTTTTCATAGTATAAATATGCGCATATGAAAAAGTAATGTTATTTTTAATTTTTATTTTGGCCAATTTCATGTTTTAACCTATCGGACAGACGGACACATCAATACAAAATTAAATTATCTCCATGATAATTCTAAATAGTTTATAACACTACTATTTACATCAGAAAATGTATGTAGTAAGATATTTGAATAAATACTTTTGATTGGCTGAATTAATTAGCTATTACAATCGTAGTGCATAATTTTAGGATGCATTTTAATAGAACAATATTAAGTGCCTAAACTCTATTTGTGTACTCTCCTATGTAAATAATTACGCTTGATCTTCTTAATACGACTTAATTATTAATATTATGTAAAACTCCGCCATCCTTTCCTTTACGTACTATATGCCGTTATATATTTATGTTACTATGTTAATACGATAAAAAAAACTTTTATCAAATGTTTTCATTCGGTTTAATCATGAATTATTAAATTATTGTAGAGTGCAGATTTTCACGTTTTCATTTACTGTTCTATCGTATCTCGGCGGGGTTGAATTATGTGGATGATTATTCATCCATAATATCATTGCGCATATTAGTGCAAAGACATTTAAAGATTATTTAGCCAATCATTTAGAATATGCTGTATAATTTACTGTTTGCGATGTGTGAAAAAAATGTATTTTTTTTTTTTTTACAAGTTTCAAGATATTTTTGTTACCGTAAAAATTATCAGCGTATTATTTATATATATACCTCACAAAAACAAACACAACAAAACCATCAATTAGCCTACTTATGGTTCCAATAAGTATATTAAATTTATTAACCTATATGTATATATATTAATAGACTGTTCAGAGATTCATCGATAACAATCAAATAACATAATAATATTTTACAAGTACAATATACAATTCTATTTTATTACTAAGTGTATATTTCTAAGTGATTCATAATATAATTATTACCAACGATTATCTATTATATCTTCTGACGTACAATTTTCGAACCACTCAATTCATATAGAATGATGATTAGGTAATATTATTTTCTGGGTATAACCGAATATCTAATAATATAAACCATCACGGAGGTTTGAAACGGAGGAAATATAATTTCGATACTAATCATTTTTGAGGTCGTGCGTTTTGATCGTGTTCAATTTAAATCGAATAAATGTATATTATTTATGATTATTGATTGCGATCAGTTAATCGTACTTTACATGACCAGCTAGATGAATTACAATTACACATGGGTTGATTTTATTATATGTATTGCATCATAGTCGGGAAAAAAATTGTAGAAACATATACGTATTATTTATGTGAATGTGACACATACACATATTATACGAATATAATTTAGTATCAAAATATTAATTATCAAACTTTTAAAAATGTAATTCAATAGTTTTCTACTGGTCAGAGTCGTAACATAACTTCAAGTTATTCACTCGTTAATCAATTAAAAATAAATGATTTTTAATATAACAAATTAGAATAATAACACTTACCACCACCAAGTTATCTTTATAACTTTATTTTTTACACATCATTATGTAATATTAAATCCTGTTTTTTGTCTTATTACAAAATTCTAGTTTTATATTCGTTATCTGTTTATATTAATGCAACGAAAAAATTCAAATGGAATTGATACTATCATAATATAACCTAAGAAGTATCATCATAATGAAAGGTAACAATGAGAAAATCGGAAGTAGGAAGGTACTATAATAAAGATCACGATTTCCAGTCGTGACAGTAAATTATTACAGAAGCATCCGCCAACACCCGCAGGATAATACATTTTATTACTAAAATAAATTATTAATCTTATTATTAATCATATTCTAATAAATAAAGAACATTTAAAAGTAAATGCATAAACGTTGAAAACATAGAAGAAAGTGGTCTTAAGAAATCATGCAAGACAGAAAGAATGAGATATAAAATTAAAATTGCAAAGAAAATTAAAATTTATATTACAAAACGTTAATAGAGGTTACATTACATCTATTACAGTATTACTTTATGTGCATACGTAATTTAAAACAATGGAAACTTTTACACTTGTAATTTACAATTCCCGCGGAAACTAGCCTGAGGTTTGCCATTAGCAAATCTAGCAACAATTACTATTTCTTTTATAGCTATTGAAATACAACAAACTAGTTTAAAATTAGTTTATTAAATAAAAACCTCCTTTATTTAAACATTCATTTTTATTCAAATAATGTATGTACGCAGTATACAAATTATTTGAATACCAATAATACATCTAAAAGATACTGATTGTTTATTTTAATAGAATAAGTAAGTTAATGTATTTTGTACAGTTTTAATATTTCATATTACTGTCTTTGAAAACATTTGAGTAATTAACAGAGTAATTTGAATCGATAACTAGAATTAGGACTGACGAATAATCAAATTTAGAGTTATCGTGTTATAATATAATAATAAAATATATAGAGGAACCTAAAATGTTACTTAAATTATTTGGGTTCGTGTATGATAACGACTCGACTGTATAAATAAAGATTATAAATATTTGTATAGGAATGAATTAAAAATGCAATGGACAAAATAAAAATAAATATTATATTACATTGAAGGGTGTACTGCACAAACTACTAAGGTTCATAACCTTTGCGATTAATCAGTTGCCCCTATAAACATGGCGGTCGTAAAGTTTAGCGAGGTCTGGACAAACTTAAAGCATGGTCCTACATAGTGGCAAACAAAGAGTGGTTATGAGATTTTAACTCTCCCCAATAAAATAAAATTATATTGGTTCAAATAAAATATTAGAAATTCACACATATTATTTAAACCAGCAATCGGCTACATCATCATATACGGGCCCACATATTGTTCTTAATAGGTAATTTGACCTATTCGGTTCTAAATAATAAGTAAAAAATGAATTTTTAAAAATGCATTTTAAATAAAATTTAAAAAATAGAATTAACGTTCAAATGGTTTAAAAATCTCAAAAAGCTGTGATAAATTAAGAAATTCATAAGCTTCAACATTTAATAAAAAGTAAAATATTGTCATTATTTTTTTTTTCCGTGACACTTATACTTTCTTGAAATAAACTAATGTTAGCAAGAATTATGGACAAGCACGATGCACGAAATTGTATAGGGTAACAGGTTGATAAAAGTCTTACACTCATTTATTTTATTAAAAACAAAATCATTTGTATTTTTTTCAAAGTTTTACAAATTAGTAAAGTTATCAAAAAAGTGATAAATTTTGGTGTTATTGTATAAATTAATTATGGATAACCTAATGCATCAAATCTGTAGTAGTAATTATTAGTGTATAAAATTCGTTAGATAATTAAGTATAAGTTTTTTTTATTAATTTATAGTAAGGACCTGAAAGTACTTCGCGTCTATTATTTTACTACTATTATTCCTAGATTTGCTTATATTTGCTCATAAATTATGAATCATCGAAACGTTGATTGCCGGGAAACCACTGATACGGTACTCGTGAACATATCGCGATAAGTCTTATCATCCACGATGAACAGTGATAATATTATAGCTTGATTTCGTCTTTTAACACATTATAAAAACGGTTTTTTGTCACTATAGATCGGTTTCAAATTTCACTGCTCATGAGATATTTTCATAACCTACTGGTTTTTATCTAATCTCTTACTGCATTATTCAATCTACTCTTATATATTTATCTAATGCGATTGTTTTACTCGTGACTTGAATTTGTTGTTCGTTTGAATAGAATACCCACTGATAACATACGAAATGCCGACGTCGGAGTATTCCAAAGATACCGAACGGACTACAGATGTACAAACCCACGATCAGACACCTTTCAGCTCGATTATTACTAACTGCCCAAGATTACTGAAAGGTCTTACTGCTTGTGGTTATGTACATGCTTCTCCAATACAAGTTGCTGCAATACCTACAATTATTGCTGGAAATGGTAATATTTATACAATTTTCACCTAAAAATGTTCATTCAATACTGTTATTATTTTGTTTTTGTAGATACCATAGTTGAGGCGAAAAATGGAACAGGAAAGACGTTATCATTTGTTATTCCTACATTAGTAAGATTGAAAGTAGATCAAAGTAATTTACAAACCATTGTTTTGGCACCTACTCGAGAAATCGCTGTTCAAATACAACAGTGTTTCAAAAAAGTTGGGCAATACCTGCCAGGTAAATATTAAACTTTTTAGTTTGGTATAAAATAAATAATTTCACGAGTATCTAAATAGCAATGCATTTTTATCGTTCTACTCTGCTTGATTAAAATATACTGTTTTTCGCATTTTTCTTATAACAGTTATTATATTGTATCAAATACTTACTAAAAATATTTAATTAATCTTGTTTTAATTATGTTATTTATTAGTCAAATTAGTTTGTTAATTAATATTATTTATTTCAATTTGTTACCTACGTTGCACATTATTAAATATCAATGTTATCCTTAGTTATGGTTTAAGTAGTCAGAATGTGGATTTGAAAATTTCATAGAATATAGATCTGATCAAGAATATTTTATACTTAATAAATGTTGTATTAATTATTATTTGATTGCTATTTAAGTTACTTATTTTCATTATTATAACAAGGTAAATAAAATTTAACTATTTATTTAACTGTTTCTTATGAAATTGTTTTTTAGATTTAAAATGTGAATATTTTATTGGGGGAACATCAGTCGAGATTGATAAAGAAAAAGCGAATGGCTGTCAAATAGCTGTTGGTTCTCCAGGACGTATCAAACATCTACTTAATGAGCATGTATTAAAAGGTTCTGAAGTAAAGAGCTTTATTCTTGATGAAGTTGATAGATTATTTACAGACAAAAATTTTACAAAGGATATTCGGTAATATTAATTTAGAATTTTACAGAATTGCAAATTTTGAAATTCTAATACTTTTATTATAACTTGTCAAAAATGTATTGTTAAAACATTTTCAGTTTTTCCCTTGTTAAAACATTTGGAATATTTAAAATTGTCAACTAATATATTTATTTTGACTATATGTATGTACTAAGTATAATATTTGAATTTAAATAGTAAATATTTTTGCTATTTCTACAACATTTTTCATTAACAAATTTTCTAATTTTCTTTACATTTTAAAATTTAAGTAGAATAATGGAGCTATTTAATTAAATTTGTGAAATTTATGAATCTTACAATCTACAATTCAAATTAAGAATCTTAATAAAGTGGTTTATTATTAGTTTATAGTGTAGATATATCTATATGATTTCATAGTAAATTGTCATTATAGTGGTTTTCACAATAATTTTCACTTTAATCAAATAGTCAACTATAGTATTTTTCATTATATTGTTTTATCCCATTAATTTCGGTTATAAAATTAATACAATTTAATAGAAATGTAATGCTGTGTTTAAAATTATGTTTTTCTTCCAGAGTGATTGACTCAAAACTTCCTAAACTAAAGCAAATGATTGTTGTAAGTGCATCAATTGATAAAAAGGATATGTCTATCTTTGATGAATTTATGAAAGAATATATAGTGGTCAAAGGAGCAGAAGAAGACATGAATGCATCACAAGACCCTTCTAAATTCCTATTAGGTATTAAGCAATATGTTGCATGCGTCAAAGCTGTCAGTACTAATATAATATTATTACCTGCAAAAAATGTACGACTCCTGAACATCTTACACAATTTACCATACACACAATGTATTATATTTACTAATTATATGACAAGGTAAAGGTTTTAAAAAAATATTATATGTAAATTATCTCTGTTTATCTTTCACACAAAATAATAATTTCAATGTATTTTTTATTCAATACACCACTTCAATTTAATAATCCATTGAGAATTTTTAAAATAATGTAAAAGTGTACTTGAAATCAAACTTCCTATTTTTTTTTTGTTGTATAGTTTTCAGAATGCTTAGTAGCGTTATGATTTTGATTAATTTTTGGTAAAAATGAATTTAATAAAATTGAAAACTGATTTCAAATAGACTGGAGTCATTTAAAATTATTTTAAAATTATTCTTAAATAAATTAGAAGTCTAAATTACTATATTGTGTTGATGATAAACAGTTACAAGTAAATTTTAGTATCTCTCAAAATAAAATAATTATTTTTTTAAAGTAATTATTGTATTTATTGTCATAGAGTTGAAGCTGTTTGTAATATGTTACGTGATCATAACTATAAGGCTGATTATATTAGAGGTGATCAAGATCAAAACATTCGATTAAAATTGGTAGATAGATTAACATCTTTTAAATCAAGAATACTTGTTGCTACGGATTTGATAGCCAGGGGAATTGATTCGTCAAACGTCGATTTAGTGATCAATATGGATTGCCCAAATGACTCGGCAACATATCTACATAGAATTGGTCGAGCTGGAAGATTCGGAAACAAAGGTTAATATTTATTTTAATTATTTATTTATGTTAACTAAAAAAATGATTTTTTAGGAAACGCTTTTACTATATTGGATGATGATAAAGAATTAAAATCGTTTAAAAAAATTATTAATAGTATTGAAAATGTTAAGATAAAAATGTTACCAATTACAATTGAAAAACCAATATTAGATTATACAGATAATGAACTTAAAGATCTAGATTTAACTGTTGAATCGGATCTTGTAGAAAAACATCAAAATGAAAATAATGTATTAGAAGAAAATGGAAATAAAATAATTGAAAATAATCAACAAAGTAAAGTAGCCTTTCTAAAGTAACAGCATTAATTTTAATTATTTGATATTTTTATTATTGCAGGTAATAATGAATTAAACAATATTGATACTAAATTAATTACCAACAGTGTGTCAGTAGAGAGTAAACCAGTAAAAAAAATAAAATCTGTTTTTGGACCTGGCATATCTGAAGAAGAATCTCTTCAAAAGCTTTGTAAGGTAGTTGAAGAAACAGAAAAAAAATTAATTGAAAATAACTTAGTGAACAAAAAACATTTATCTGATAGATCATTTATTTTATTCGATCCAGAACCATTTCTTGATGATTCTGATCAGCATACCAAATTAAGTCCTGAAGAGCTTAAAGACATTTTAAAAAAATTTAATTTTGATTTTAAGAAGAATGAATTTGATGAAAAATCAATGTCTGAAAAATCTATGCTTGAAAAAGATAGTGAAAAGGAACTTTCAAATGATAGTCATGTATGTTTAGATAATGATTTTGAGAAAAATGGAGTTGATGAAAAATCAATATCTGAAAAATCTATGCTTGAAAAAGATAGTGAAAAGGAAGTTTCAAATGATAGTCATGTATGTTTAGATAATGATTTTGAGAAGAATGAAGTTGATGAAAAATCAATTTCTGAAAAATGTATGTTTGAAAAAAGTGGTAAAAAGGAACTTTCAAATGATAGTCATGTATGTTCAGATGATGATTTTAAGAAGAATGGAGTTGATGAAAAATCAATTTCTGAAAAATGTATGTTTGAAAAAAGTGGTGAAAAGGAACTTTCAAATGATAATCATGTATGTTCAGATGATGATTTTAAGAAGAATGGAGTTGATGAAAAATCAATGTCTGAAAAATGTATGCTTGAAAAAGGTGATGAAAAGGAACTCTCAAATGATGTAAATCATGTATGCTTAGATAATGATTTATATTATCAGTCTAACAATACTAATGACAAAAAAAGTGCCACAGATATTGATCAACAATCACAGTACCAATATGCGCCTTTAAACAACAGTGAAAAACAATTATTGACTGATGAAGTTAATTCAGAAAGTAATTTATTAAATAAATCAAATAATGTTGATACTAAAATCCATACAAATACTAGACAACAACCACGGTTCACTAATATATTCGAATTATTCCAAGTACCCGATTTTAGTGATTTAAAGCCTGCAAACTGTGAAAATTCAAATAATTGTTCAACAAATGAACAATATTCAATTAAAGAAGAAAGTGATAAATCACACACAATCCCTGAAAAATATATTAAACAAGAACAATGTGATGAAAAACAAGAAGAAGAAGAAGATGTAGAAGAAAATGATGTATGGTTTACTGATGAAGAAGAATTTGAAGTGGAAGAAAATGAAAGTTTTGATGAAGATATTGAGATTGGAAGTAGTTTCTATGAAAAAAATTCTAATGATGAAAGTAGTAATCATAGCGAAGATGATGAAAGTAGTAGAAAATTAAATATAGAAAATTGTTATAAATCGATACAACATAATTCTATTCGCAACAATATTCAAAAAAAAGACACAACATTCCGAAGAGTCGTCAATGACACAAATGTTGAAAATCAATTAATGGATTATGATCTTCTAAACGACTGGTACCAGCAGTGGAGACAGCAAATGCATTTCATCCAAACGTTGGTCAGGATGAGTAAGTGACTATAAAATGGGGCTTGAATTTAAAAGAACTGAAAACAATATTTTCTTGTACTGAAGGGGATTTGAAACTTTGTGTATTGTAAGTTATAGTTTTTATTTAAGTATCATTTGGTAATTTTCAATGAATTTTTCGAATATTGTTTACAACGTTTTTGTATAATTTTTCATCCAACAATAAAACACGTGTATTTTATTTTCATTATACATAATATAAATTTTAATCTTTATGATTAACATTTTTCAGTCGTAATAATAGCGTAATTAAAAAATACAAACATCAATCATATTTTACGTATATATATATATATATATATTAAGGGTTTATATTATCACATCACGATAAAAATTGTATACAAAAAGAAGAAAAAAAAACCTAATTTTCTTGATCGAGTTGAGATCACGAATCGCCGTTATCGGTTGAGCTACGATGCAATGGAAATCGATGACGGGAGGGGAGGAGTTGAACGGGCAACGCGTTACGAGCGAGGCGGACGGAGTCATCTGACGGGCGGCGCAGGGCCAGCGGCGACAGCCCTGCGTGAGCCATTCGCGCGTCTCGCCGCGAACTCGTACAGCCGTTCCCGGTTCCGGTAGATGATGTTGGCGAACTGGTCCACGTTGCCGTACGTCTCGAAACGCGTGTTGTCGCACATGCGCGCCTTGGGCTCGGGCAACCCAGGGTCGCACTCGACCTGGTGGTAAACGTGCACCAGGTCCGGGTCGGCGGCGCGGAACACGTCCGCGGGCCGGGCGCGCACGAACTTCTCGAACAGGTCCACGTCCTCGTTGCCCCAGCCCCGGATGGACGTGTCGAAGCCACCCGCGGCCTGCAGGTCTGTCTTGTACACGCTGACCACGCCAAACCCATACTGCCGCCAGTAACCGGTGTCCTGGTTCACCAGGAAGTGGTTGGGCGACACGTTCCGGCCGTACACCACTACCGGGTCATACTCGCTGTACACGATCGGGAAGTACGCGGACCGGCCGCGCACCGTGTTCGACCGCACCCGGTCCACCAACGCCGCGGTCCACAGCATGTCCACGTCCACGAAGAACAGCAGGTCGTCCGGCGGCGGCCCCGGCGCGCTATCCGCGCCCGCTTGCAGCGCCTGCGCCCGCGCGAACGGCCCGTCCCGTTCCGGTAGCACCGTGACGCGCGCTACCCCCGGGTACCGGGCCGCGAGATTGGCCGCGGCGGCCGTGGCCCGTTCCCACGTTTCCCGGCCGTACGGCACCACCGTCAGCGTGACGCGATCGTCGCCGTTGGCCAAGCACACCGTTTCGTAGTTCTCGACGAACCGGTCGAACGTGGCCAGTCGGTTGAACAGCGGCAGCACCATGTGCACCGTCTTCGATTGCGCCGCCTCGTCGCCACGTCTCGCCGGCCGTCCTTCCACACCTATCATCCCGTTGTCCGCCATGTCCTGGAATGGTCCCGCCGCCGCGTCATCACCCGCTGACTCGTACGCCTCGTCTGCCGGATGTTTCCATTTCACTTCGGATCCATCTGATACTTCGCGCACTTCGAATCCTGAAACAATCAACAAAACCCTTTTTAACTGTCTTTAAGAATCATCAACTGCCAATGATGTGTTATAGTGATGTACAATAGTAACAACTTGAATTTAATTTCGGTTTTAACCTGTTTAATGTTCTCAGTGAGCTTTAACGATGTCGATTGACGGTATCGACATTGTCTTTTAGTCGTTTCTAAATAATTTATAATTCACAATTTAACGTAAAACGTAACTACTGTTTCACATTAATAAATTAATTGAACTGCATATAAACTGATAATGGAAGAAAATATATTTAAACCTAATACTTAACAGCTATTAACAATAAAACAACAAAAAATAGAATAAAAATTGAAAATTATTAAATGTTCAACACTCGTAAGTTAATATGTATATATAAATAAATAATTTATATACAGAAATAAATAAATGAATGCTTAGCCTGAAGAATCATTATAATAGTAAAGAACAAGTGGTTTCGAAATAAAAATTCCATCAGGTACATACGTACAAGGTCTATAAAATCGCGACTGAATATGAAAAAATAGAGTATGGTCGCGATTTTTTTGACTTTGTATATATCTGACAATGAATTTTTAATTTGAAACCGGTCATACTTTACAAATATAACAATACTCCTGAATAATCTTTTATTTATTTATAAGTTATTAACATTTTTTTAAATATACCAAGAATAATTAAAATTATTTTTTTCCATATAGTAAATATGAATATGAATAAATTGTATGTAAAAAATAAAAACTGTGCTCCTAAGTGAAAATAAAATTAAACATTTTAAGTACTTCACAAGATGCTGGTATAAAAATCTAGTTATAATTTACGTTATAAAGTAATTTAAAAAAAATTTTTTTTCGTCTATTGGGTAGCTTTCCTCGTAAAGTTCCATCATTGTCCTTTACATTATTCATATTTACTTATTGTGTTAAATACAAATTGTTAGTAATATATAAATAAAAAAAAAAATCTCATATCTTTATTTTAAAAGATTTTTTAGCTCAGAATTAACTAATTTGCAATTTAACAAAACATCTACTCAAAATCAAAAATATTTATTTTAATTTTAAGGTGACAATTAAGGCCTCTTAAAATATAGTTTGTAATTTAAACCCTACTCAAAATATTTATATCAGATTTAAAATACTGTGTTGTCTACTATGCCACATTTGATTTGATCAGTATCCCGTTTCTTAACGTCAAAATAAGAATTAGGATTTAAAATAATGAAAAAAAAAACATGGAACCAAATCTTAGAAGTTGGCAATTGCAACCGCGTCTCGTCTTTACTGTCACAAATAAGCTTCGTCCTCACCAGTAAACTGTTGTTGGAGGTACGCGTGTCGCCGCACAGGAACAGTCATTTTCTTGCCCCTGTACTTTTTATACATGAGCAACATATCCAGCATGTAGTCGACGCCAAACAACGGATTCACTCTGTGATAACCGTAAAATATTTCCTTGAAGTCGATCACTCTACCGCGTTGTTTAGAAAATTTGTTTATCAGATCCATTACCTGAAAACAGCCAAAACTCGTATAAATATCACGTGTTTAGGATTTTATTAGATTGTTGGAAGTTCATGGTTGCGGAGAGCTAAAGTTATTGAATTAATTTATTTTCTGAATATTATTTGACAATCCAAATTTTTAATATTATTTCAAATTTACATGATTAGTTTTTTGCTATTTATACATTTTTGAATAAATATATAATAAAATAACGAATTTCAATTTTTAAAAAATAGAGATAATTTTTATTATTTTGTTTGCCAATGTTCAAAATTAAAAACTTTAAAGATAAAAAAACAATATTTATATCATATGTTTATACAGTAATATAGAAAATTAATATGCTTGTTTTATATATTGACGTTTTTGAAGTTCTCGTTCTAAATACGTCTCTGCGTTTAAGGTACAAAATAGTATGTAAAATTGTATCAAGGTATGTGTACAGTATACAGTATAGTGACGTATATGCTGAAAGAGGATTCGCGGTTCTTTTGACTCGGTCCAAGTTTCTGCATTTATATTTATCATATTTTAAGTATGTGTTACGTGCCAATTTAAAAGTGCAGTTGATTTAAATGAACAAGTTAAAAAAAAAATTATGAAGACGTCAAGTGTACACGAATTTGTAATGTTTCCAAGTACGCATCAGTTAAAATGTCTATTATGTCTATTATTAATCTGTTGTTAAAGAAAAGAGTCATAGGCGTTGTGATAATTGCATGTACCAATAACGGATTATGATGGTCACAGGCACGGTACTAGATTTTTTTTTTCCCGGGAGGAAGCAGAATGGGGCATGTATATTTTTTTACATGGGCTAAGGTTTTTTCAATAAATGCTGATATTATTTAAATAAAATATAAATATTTTCGTACCATTTTAACATAATATAGCTATTATTATTTTCGTAACATAAAACCACAATTAGATGAAAACGAACAAATAGTAATAAATCATAAGTAAATAAGTAAAATAAATATATACAATTCAGAGTCTATCTAAAAACTTAAAACACAAATTTTCGAAAATACGAAAGTATTTACAAAAATTAAAATTTTTTAAAAAGTATATTTCATAAATTCTTTCATGTAGTTCTTTAAAAAATAATGTTTTATGACTATTATATCATGCATATTTTTCAGTGGTAGGGCTGGCGAGAAGGCTAAACTGTTTTTCGGGAGGGATATAGCCTCCCATTACCCAACCTTGGCGCTATGCCTGGATGGTCATTGTAGTATAGTACATTGGGCTTACATATCTTTATTCATAATTTGAGCAATATGCTATCCAGTTCCAAATACTGTCATTGAGACGGTTAAAGTTTAGAATAATAATATTAAAAATAATAACTATAATAATAATAATAATAAATAAATAATAGTAAAAATAATTTATCCATTATTGTTGTTGGAATATGTATTAAGTAAATTACAACACTGCATTTTGAGTTAGAAGAACGTTTTTATATTTATTTTTTATCGTTTATCTGTAAATAATGTTTTTAATACTTTCTTTCGTTGTTAAATACAAATATGTTATGTAGTCGCACACATTTTTGTCAAACAATTCTTATTAGTATTATAAAATATACATTGTAGATTAATGTAAAATAACTTAAACAAATAATCTAGAATTTCGAGAAATCAAATTTTACTTCGAGAACATTTGTAGATATATGTGGATGTTATAATAAGATACTTTCTCATATACACAGTTAAAAAAAAAACTTTTTTTATCCGTATGAAAAAAAAATCTTTGGGTACTCCGATATATGTATTTAACAATGTAATACATTATAACTTTATTTGATTCAACCTTTAACAGTGACAATAATGTCCATGGTATGTAATATGTAATAATATTCATTGACTGTTTAATTGCTTAAATTGTCAGTATCGTTATCTTACGAGTAACTTACGAGGGTCTATTCAAATATAAGATACATGTTTTTGCAGTTACGAATAATATACCCTTGCTTTATGTGTAACGGCCAAATCCAACACATAAAAGACCTTGCGACCGTTACAGGACGACAGTATCGTTTTCATCTTTGAGATGGTAAGACTTACCGGGTTGACATGAGCCCTACATGGTGAAAGTATATCAACTATTCGATAGACATACTTCAACCTAACATCACAAGTTTGTTAAGCAATCTTTCAGTCAGGCGCACCTGTGTACAGACACAGACTGTTATATTGAAAACTAACGGAGTCTCATGTTGTACTGTCAGCAAGTAAGAATCGTTTTACACGCTTTATATTGTGCCATGATTTTCGTAAAAAAACGTGGGGAAACAATTTAGAAAACGAAAAAATAATTAACAAATATGAATGTTATCATCTACCGCAGGGATCGCCAACCAGTCGATCGCGATCGACTAGTTGATCTTTTTAGGAATAAAGGTCGATCGTTGTAAATTTAATTTTACCACTATCGGTCGATCGCGTAAAATAATCAGATTAATCGGATAATGGGAAAATTAGAATATTATTATAAAAATACAATAAATAATTATTCTTTGAAGCTTAGACCTTTTTTTCTTTTGCTCATCAAACAAATTTCTTCCTAAATTCTCTTGGATGTCGATCACCAGGAACTTAAATGTTAAATGTAGCTCACTTGTTTGAAAAGGATGGCGACCCCTGATCTACCGGATTACTCATGAGAAAGGCAGATGTACGTTCGGCATACCAACGCGGCCGTAAACCATCCGGCAAGACGACAACGCTTAATTAATCGCGTGCCTTGTGGTTATATTCGTTTCGAAGATTTTGGTCGTAGTGTCGCGACAAAGATCTTATATTATTATTATATATTTTAACATTTATGTGTCACGTACTCGGTGCCATCCATTTTTCATTTTGCCGTTAGCGAAACGGCCATGCGCTTCGACGAAATCGATGTAAATTATTTTTGTATTTTTTATTTTTCTCTGTTTGTGTTTAAGTCTGAAGCAAAATTGCTACAATTCAGACCAAATGGAAATCGTCGGTATTCCTTTTGCGTTTTGACATTTTTACTCGATCGCACGACGGATTCATTAAGTCTTCACTATTCGAACTCTAGCGATATATATATATTAGGGTGATCTTTATTTTTAAATTTACAAATTTTTTTCGAACACCTTTCCATTTTGTCCATTAGTATAAGAAAGTAATTTATGTTCAATTTGGTAATGATATCTCATCGCCTTCACGTTTCTATTGTATTCACCGAACGAAATAATAAAATATTGGGTGAATTGTAATATTTTTAGAAAAATGCTTTCTTTGACTTCTGTTTCGCAAATTGGTCACTACATTCATCCCATCCCATGAAATAGATTTAAGCAAAACATTTTAAACATCAAGAACTAATTTGATTTTTCTTTTGAAAATTTAGCTTATAAGTTGTTTTGAATCGAAATAAAACATTCTTAAAAAAATGGGTGCCATCGAAATTTTGTACCCGAGGGCAGATGTCCCCTGCCACCCTTTAATTCGGCTCCATCACCGAAGTACAGGGATCTTTATTTTACACTAATAAAATGTCGAGTGTAACAAAATATGATGCTCTGCGGCTACCCATAATATCAAATTATAATTCAAAACTCCACGGTTCAGCTAAATATTCGTTGCCCTGACGAATAATTTTTAAATATCGACTAATATTAACTATTGATCTCTGACATTACTTTTACTCTTCAAACAGTCTACTTATCTACTCATGATAGTATGTACTCATGATTTATTTATTTATTTGATTTAAAAAAGTAAATATTATTTCTATACATTATTCTCATATATATATTTAATAATCATATAACGTACAAAACACCGACAAAATTTGACCAGATTTTGAGATTGCATGTCACATCGATATTCACGTATATATGTTTGATTATACCATAGTTTTTCAACCTTTTCACAATCGAGACACCAAAAATAAAATTTGATACTTAACGATTATTACTAATTTGAATCTGATTATTGGTTTTTAATAGCTACAAATAGTTTATCACTTATGAGATTGATAACTAGCATGCGCCCTATGGCAGAAAGACTATTTTTCTAGTTTGTAAAATTGTTTATTAAAAAATATGAAAAACATTTTTTTTTTCGTACAAATAAGTCAAATTATTTCTTAGTAACGTGACCCTCAGGTTCAAAATCGAAAGTTTAGATATATACTATTTTTACTGAATACAAGTCTATTAATAACTGTGCAATAATAACGCCTACATCATTTTGCTACAATAATGACAAATAAACCCTCATCTCCCTTTTGAAATTTTGTGATTACGTTGCTATAGATTTAGATATATACTCGGGGATATGAGCACTCGACGTTCTATCTATATATTACCTCTCGCACGACGTCATCAAGTCCTTCTTTCGAGTAAGAATCGATCCGTCGCCTAGGATTCGCGTCTGTATCCGAGAACCAAGCTTTCGATATGAAATCCCATTTGATGACGTCCACCACTTTACGCGGCCTATACTTGTTTAGGCCGGGTGGCAATCCTACGTATAATAACAAAACAACAAGTCAATACGTGTGTATAAAAATAAATGTAAAAGAACTGAACGCGTACGTATATGCGTAGGTATACGTGGGCATGCCCGGAAATAATGTCACATTTAAAAATATATTATGTACCTAGCTCGGTAAAACGTCAGGGATAAAATGTAGTAATTATAGTGAGTTCATATAATAGGCACTCCAACTGAACAGTAATAGTTAAAAAAAATGTATTTATCTAGTAATAATAATGTTAATAATTTATTAAATAATAATACTGAAAATTCGAATTTATTAGGAGCTATATTAACAGCTTAAATACCTTAATGTTCTAACATTCCATTCTAGAAATTATCTTTTTTTTTTTTTATTAACCACCATACTCAAAATTACAATTATTACGGGTCTATCAATAGTAACAATTGTAATAATTATTTTTGATTTTTTCTTTGATAATAAATTAAATATATTACTTTTATTATAAATTGGTTTAATTGTAAACTGTAATGTTTTTAATATAGTTCTTTAATATTGTCTTCTGGGGTAAATCAGTGCTCGACTTGGAAAAATTAAAGAAGGGGAACTCTATTTACTTTAAAAAAAAGAACGTCCCCAAAACTGGCTGAGCGTTATGATTATAGCGTAATAATAGTAGGGGGACGCTAAAATTTCTGAAAATTAGGTGGGGTACTCCGTCCCCCTGCGTCCCCCCTCAAGTCAAGCACTGGAGTAAATAAAAAATTAAATAAACAGTGTTAATTAAAAAAATGTATTTATTTCGTAATAATGATTTTAAAATTTTAAAATGTTACAAATGTATAAATATTGTGTTTTTTTTTTTTTAACAGGAAGATGATAGGTATAGTGCGTTTGAATAAATTCCTGTCACTTGTGAATTTATATTTATTAAGGTATTGTTGTTTTGAACTAGGGTGCCAAGTATTGCTTTAATTGGACCGAGAAAATAAAGACCAATACTTAAAACAAAAAATTTTTCACCTACATTATTCGTTTGTTCAACAATGTATGTAAGTAAGTATAGTGATTTATATCGTCCGTAACCCATAATAACATGTATTATAGATATACCAGCTAAAACTTAGGAACAGTTTTATTATCATGACACCGTGGAAAATATTTTGCAGTTTTAAAATTATTAACATTTCTGCGCGCGGAACTGGGAAGTAGATATTTATAATAAATTAAAGCTGACACGGTACTTCTGTAAGGGATTTAACAATTAGTTCGGATTTTTCATGTAACATGTATTCTTTTATACTTAAAAATATATATAAATAGGTTTAAAATGGCTGACAAATTGCACTGAATTCGAACTGTTCGAATCAGTATTTATTTTAGACCTACTATCCCGAGAGGGTACCGTACATTTTCTGGTGACTATGTAATATGTGGTATGCCATAGGAGTAAATAATTAATAAATAAATACATTTTTTCAGAAGGATATAATTTTTTTTTAGGGGTGTAATATCCTCCGATCATCGTCCTGAAATAAACACTGGTTCGAATTCTGAAGGCAAATGCAAGGAAAGACTTGCAATAATTAATAAGTCACTGATTTGAAAATAAATGCACTTCTGGAAAATAATTAAGAAAATATTTTTCGCTATAACATATAAGAATTATTTATTTTTGCATTCATTATTCTCGTTAGGTATACCATTTTAATTACCGTTACGCTTCAATACTATCATAATATATCCGGCCAAAGGATTTTAATCTTCGTCATTATTTTATCAATTGTAGTATAAAGTTTATACTACATAGTATGCTGGTAGATAAAGTTATTGAATACAGTAATATTAGGTAATAACTGGTAAACGAGCACGATTTAGTTCGTAAGACTGTGTCAGTGTGTCATATTGATACCATAAGATAAAAACCTATACAATTTTCCGTTCTATTTCTCTGGTCAAATATTTTCACATCATAATGTACGTAGGACATATAATATATAATATTTTCAATGACATTCTATCAATATTAATAACTATTTTCAAATCCTATACTGTTATTGTATTACCAATCAGATCTGGATCACCCAAGTAATTTGGATTGCCCGGTTTAGCACTGAATAGTTTTGATTTTTCGGTCAGTTTAAATTCTATGGCCGGTCGCGGGTTAACACGATGTTCGATGATATTTAGCTGATCGATCATAGATCGTACATCTCGGTGCAGCAATATTTTCTTCTGCTGTATGTCCTGCAGCTCAAGACTCTGCAGCACAAAAAAAGAAAAAATGCAAATCGGCATTTAATCGAATATCCGCGTCCGTAATAACAATTTTGCTACTACAATAAATTACAGTATACGCATGTAAATGATTATACCTTCATATAGTTGTGTATCCTATACATGTGACTGTGCTGTTTAACAGGATGAAGAGTTATAGCTCGATGGACTTCCTTCTGCTTCAAGTTACCAGTGTATGATTCGTGGTGGCTGGAATTGTGATAAAAAATGGTTTGCATCTGAAAATTAAACGTTAATCTATAAATAAACAATATAATATGTACACTATGGGCTACACGTATCAGATTATATCATAACAATTATAATTGTATTATATTTATCGTCGCGTTGTAATTCATTGTGTCCTATGGTATTCCGTGTATACATGAGAACTTTTGTTTTTTTTTTTTGGAAGGCAAAGAAAACAATAGAATATAAAAATAAAATAAAAATCCAAACGGTCACAACACATGAAAATAATTCTTGAATTATACCTTTTTATCATTGTTACCGAGCCATCTATTAAATTCTTTCTTAACCGTAACAACGTTTATTAGATTCTATGTAAATATGTTTCCGATTTCAATTGTACTTAAATTTAATTTTCCATATCTAATCGTGTTTTTATTCAGAAAATGTATATTTATATATCATGTACGTTTGCTTAAGTATAATAAACTATTACTTATTAATTATTATTCGACTGACCTTTCATCTAGATAATCGTATGTATGTATATATTTGGTGGTATTCAGTTTGTTTCACTCCATAAATCAAATTTACACACATTTTTTTAAAAACTATTTGACAACGTCAAAGACGATATTATTCTTCAAACATTTAGTTTTAGTATTGCACCACACATATAAGATGTAATAGTATCCCCGGTATAGGGGATGTTCAACGGGTGATTAATGATTTCAGAAGATTTCAACGTTTATTTGGTCGACCAGCTGTAATAGCGCGTTTTAGTAAAATAATTAGTTGTAACAGTATATTCAGTTTCAATCGTCATAACAAATCCACCTCAATATATTATACGAATATAATACGTAAAACACAAGGTCATGTCCGACATAAATAATATTAATTATCAAACCGTATACATATACAATATTCATAATACACATATTTACTGCTATAACTAAAGTGTGAAACCATATGGTTTCGTATGGTTACCGTATGGAGTCGTATGGCTCTAGTTATCATGTTTAACGGATACAGACGTTTACAAATCATCCGGTGAAACAACAATAAAAATACGTGGATTTCAACGATAGCCGATAACCATTAAAATAACGCTGAGAAGAAACGTATTGATTTTTTTCTTCTGATTACTTCAAGTACACGTTTAAGTACTGCAGTGAATATGGACAGTCATTATATGCACGCGTGTGTGATAATCGAAGAAGGAAAAAAATTAAAATAAAAATCAAATATCGTGTTAATAAACACGAGTCGATAGCAATTGACGTATTTTTGTAGTCAATGGTCATATTTTGTTCACGGCACTTCAAACAAATACAATAGTGCTCTGGCATGTAGTCAACGATTTTCACACTTGTATCACAGCCTGGTTTTAATCCTAAATATTGATTACAAAAATAACACGGTACACATATTATCCTATATTATTAAATTCTATACTAATCTAAATTCCTCTAAACTGTCTACTCGAGACACTTACATATATGTAAATAACTTAAATATTTAAACATGAACATTGCTTTTTAAACACTAGATATTGGTGAAATATTGTGATTTGCGATTTCCTATTTATATCATGTTGATTAAAGACAAATGTAATGGCACTTTTAATAAAAATCGTTTTGAATAGAACCGCTTCCTTTTTACGTTTTTGTTATTTTTGTTCGATTTAAATGAAAACAAATGTTTACACCTAACAGAAGCTACACCAAAAATAATTATTTAGAATATATATATACATATTTTTTCATAAAGGTATTCGTTTACTCTTACGACGACACAACCCGACAGCTGATTTTATTGTCGAAATAATACGTTACAGTAGGACAACGTTGCTATAGATTTATTATTGAGCACGTTAATACCTGCGGGGGTTGAAAGGGTCGAATTCCTGCAGCGAATGGAATATCGTGTATCTTGCACTGCTCCAATACTATTTTCATTATTGTGTGGGATGACTCCGAATAGAATACTACATACATACGAGTATTGTGTGGCGTATAATACAACACATAAAAATGAGTACACACGAAAGAATAATTAATACATAATTTAAGTACCTATACTCTTGGATTGTAAAAGAAGCGAAAATATCTTATGCTTGTAAACGTTTAAAGTCTGTTTAAACATGGCAAAATAGTCGATCTATTATTCTTTCTTTAAATATATTACACCAACATATACTCAAAATGTTTTTTTAAATACTCTTTACTATTACTTTCAAATTTAAACAAATTATGCGATTATAACACTCGGGAACAGTGATGTTCGACAGTAATTTCCATCTTGTATACTTTGTATTACACCGGACAGTTCTACTAACGGTTAGCTAGTTATAATTAAGAATCTTGACTATGCACAATCATACCGAATACATACTTAATACTATATTGTGTACTAGTACGTAATCGTATACCAGCCATGTATTATACGAACATCCAAGCATTGCCTCAGCTAACCTTAACTCGTGATCGTATAATGTGACTTGTGAATTCACGATCACCTCGTGGTTATTGGCCGGACGGGGAGCGGTTCGAGACGATCAGAAATTGATTTTTAGCACGCGTTCAGATTCTCGAACTTTTCGTTTCACGATCGTTTTTTTTTTCTTTGTTTATACCGCAGGACGTGTGATTATTTTTGCGCACGTGAAATATACGAACCAAAAACGGCATTCCTTAAAAATTACATGTATTTATTATTATATATACCGTACGCTTGTCTGTCACTTCAGGGGGTGATAGAAAAAATATCACACGTAGGTGTGTACTCTGTACATTGATGATAATAATAATAACAGTATTATAATGGCGACGTACGCCCTATGTGAATCCTGCAGACGATTTTTGGACGGCTCTGTTCGTTGCTGCAGTATACACGTATTATGTGTGTAGAGAATATAACGTGAAAAAAGAAATTCGCAAAGAAATAAATCAATTACGAGTGACCATAATAGGACACCCGAGTCCATTCTTGTCTGCGGCAAATATGTAAAAAACTTACGTGATGACAGTAATAGTCCATAGACATGTTTGTGTGTGTAGGTACATTTTGTTCTTTGATTGTCTCATCCGCGCACACATTTAAACATAATTCATAAATGTTATTGCATTGTATACTGTACACGGATACACGTATAATATATAAATAAAATATATTTATACATTAACTCTTTTTTCTTTACAGTTTTTTTTTTTTGTCCGTTAGAATGTATGGACCACGTATCAGATGTGGTCTATTGTCGAAACCGACAAATTTTCGTTATAGTATAAAAAAATTTTGATTTTTTTTCACCATGCTCGGCGCGCGCTCGTAAAAAAACCATTAATTATATCTACGGACGAATTCGTGTAATACATATTTTTTCTTCTCTCTCTCTTTCTCTCTTCCTCTTTGTCTGTTCCCAAATCTCGTTTGCGGTGCGGTGAGTTCACCCTCGGTGTACCCGAAAAAAACATTATACGTTATTTGGTTAGAAAAATAGAAGTATAAAATAAAAACCGGTCCTCCCAACATGCAACGGTACAGTCGCATCGGGTTCGGCCTTGGCAGTCGTTGGCCGCATCACACATATACGTTTATTATTCTTTTCGACTTACCTACGTGATTGCAGTCGACATTGAGCCACATAGGTTAGTGATTTCCTTAACGCGCTTATTCGCATATGTATTTAATATGTATATTTATACGCTATTGTAGAGCAAGAGCACGCGTGCGGAATAGTTGGCACAACGGTATATTGTAGAAAAGGGTTCTTAATTTCGTAATTGGTCTATAAATCTAACCTTAAAAATGTACGTATGTATATAAAGATATTATGTTATAATATAAATAAATGTGTCGCAGTCGTTTCGTTGTCGTCCGTCAAATAATAGTAATTCTCGTAGTACAAGTCAAATGACCATTTCCTGTTTGCTCTTTTTCTCCTTCGTTCCCGTTTTTCGTGATCAGCAGATGTACGGATTCCCGGGTACCTACGCCCTATAGATAAGTATATGATATACATAGCTAGAGAATAATTATGGAAGTATTTATTTTTCTTTCAAATACCATTTTACTAATTAATTATATCGTTAGCCACTGCACCTAGGATCGAAAAACAAGCGTAAGTCGATAATGTACAAATAATCAAAGCCTTCAACACTATACGTATACACATATACATGAACGTATAATTGATTCGTCAAACCCTTCCGAGGAAACGATGGTTTATTGTTACACAATATAATATACAATATATAAACACATATTTGTCAATTGTTATAAGATTAATAACACAAAAAAAAAAAAATAAAAAAAATAACCGAACTGTGCAAGAAAATCTTTCAATGATAAACGCATTATACAATATAATATTGCGAATAGAATAACGAGCTCGTTTTCCCTTTTTGTTGGTTTTCTAACGGTGTGTAGTACATCGGCACCAATTTATAACAGTGTTCATAATAATCATAACAACATTTTGTTGCAAAAACTGGTTATGATTAGTTGCGTGCGACTCGTTCAGTACTGTATTAAAATTATAATTAGATCATATAAACATTTGCAATCAATATTTTGCTTACCGATCTATTTTTGTTGAATTTTATATACATATAATATATGACGTCATTAATATTTTATTTTTTGCATAAATTTTCTCATAAATAGTGTATTAATATTAAGCGAATGATTCTATTATTTATTGATTACGCTTATTATATTACGCAATATATCACTTTGATATTCAATAATGCCAAACGTGTCCATATAATCTAAATTTTAATTTTCCAAATATTTAATACAAAAGAGATGACATTTGATTGACGACGTTGACTTTATCGAGAATATGTAAGCAAAAAATATTACAACATGAATATGTATATGGTACAAATATGAAATATTACAAATTTTAAATAAAATAAAACAAACCCGTAAAAATAATGCATTTAACAAATTTTTATAGTATAAAGCTACAAATATCATAATCTGTGTAGAAGAAAATGGAATCAACGGAAACTTATAACCTGTAATCTAATAATTCGACTCATTT